ACACACACACACACACACACATATATATACTGTATATTATATATATATATATAATCAAGAGCTAATAATACCTCAAGGTATTATTAGCTCTTGATATAATTGCCATCGTGCGCTCAATTAAAGTCCAAGCGACAACCCGCACAGAGGAGTGACCGCAGGCACGCAAAGCAACCGCCCTTCCCCGCGCACGCACACACAGACACGCGCGCACGCACACACAGAGACGCGCGCACGCACACTCAGACACGCGCGCACGCACACACACACAGACACGCGCGCACGCACACACAGACACACGCACGCACGCACACACCGACACGCGCGCACGCACGTACACACAAAGCCGATAATAACGGGCCGACTGGCTCGTGGACATAATAACATAGATTACCGTCTCCATTCGACCAGCGGTCCGCCAAGTGAATAATTAACTCTTTCTCGCGCCACGCATGAGAGAGCCGACAGACGGGCGGCGGCCGGGCGGGATGACCACGGCACATCTGTCATGTCTTGGACGCTCAAGTCTGGCGTGCCATGCGGGGCTCAGCTGCTGCTGCTGCCGCCGACGCCGCCACGACTGCGTGTCACCGTCGCTTCCTGCCGCCCGGACGGATTTAGCCGGAGACCAGTGGTCACTGCTTATCAGATATAGCGCAGAGCTGATGGATTTACGATTGCCGTTCGCAAACAGAGAGCGGATATCGCAGTGGGTTGTGTGCCTGTGCGGCATCATAGCGGCGCATGCGCAGATGTACGCGGCACGAGAAGAGTAGGCGAGGCAGTAGCGTGACACGAAAAGTCTGCGGCATTAGTTAGGGCAGCAATTAACTTAGTATATTTATTCTCCTATAACTTATAGTATTATTATTAGAATACTATTCTTATTCCGTGCCTTAATCTCTTCAACCCGAGCCTGATACCCATTTCTGTTATTATTTTCCTCCTAAAACACAGGAAACAAACACACACACACACACACACACACACACACACACACACACACACACACACACACCGGCAGATAAATGAAACAGCGAAAAGCAAAGACGATACAGATGCGGAGCGCTTCCTCAGCACCCAGCCAGCAGCCAGCAGCCACGGAGGCCTCATTTCAGATTTCAAGTGCTTTCGAGACGCCCGCGCGATGCCCGACTGAATAATATATTGGAATTCTCGCGGCCGAGTGTACGCCTAAGTTGATTTCGCCGAGGCCGGCGAAAATCCTCTGCCACTCAAAGCAGCGTGCGCTGGCGCCACGGTGCAGCAGTAGTAGTAGTAGCAGCTGCAGCAGCAGCGGCGGCGGCGGCAGAGCTGGAGATGCCCAGCGCTCTCAGTCAGATTGCCCCGTCTCTCTTTCTGCTCTCTTCTTCGCGAAGCTCTAATCAAATGTAGCCTCGCCGCAGCTTCACGGCGGCGCCTCTCGCCGCGCCACCACCCGCAGACGAGGGCGGGACGTCAGCGCAGGGTATGAGTCAGATCGTGCTGCCGCCGTCATGCCTCCCCCCTCCGCTCCGTCACCCCCCGCG